TACAGAATGAAATGTCTGAATGAGTGCTCATCCAAGACTGGTGATTCCATACTTTTTGACAGGGGTTGTATACATGATTTAAAAAGTGAAAAGTGTGTTGTGCAAAAGTATTCAGACCCAGTGGGAATGATGTGTTAAGAGTGATGTGCAGTTTAATTCTCTGCCACACATAGTGTTTACTTATGTTAAATTTTGGTCTCATCTAACCAAAGCACCTTCTTCCACATATTTGTGGCCCCAACATGACTTCTGACAAACTGCAAACAAGACATCTTATAGTCTTCTTTTAACAATGGCTTTCTTCTTGCCACTCTTCCATAAAGACCACATTTGTGCAGTGCATGACTAATGTGGACAGATTCCCTCCCGGCTGAGCTGGTAATCTCTGCATTTCATCCAGACTCACCATGAGCCTCTTGGCAGCATCTCTGATCAGTGCTCTCCATGTTCGGCCTGTAAGATCAGACCTTGTAGATTTAAGGCTTCATCATGGTCACTTGGGTCACTTGGTTGTTCATTGTTCATTTTTGCACACACCTTTCATAGCTCCTGAGACACACCGTGCCAAGCTCTTGGCGGTATGCGCCACTGCATGTGGTTTCTTCCCACTGTAGCCTACAGTTCGGAAAAAAAATCGGAGACCCGTCACTCAACATTATTTATRCACAAATCTGTCCCGGTTAAAGTTCCAACGTTTTTTCCAGTCAGATTTCACCATGCATAACATCTGTTTTATCTCCATTCATTAGTTTTTGACCATTTGACTCACTGTAAATGTCTGCTTCCTGGTACAACCTTACTCCTGACCTGTCTGGTGTGTTCTTTGACTTCATGATGCTGTTTGCTCCTCAGTATTCTCTGAACCAACCTCTGAGGCTGTCACAGAGCAGCTGTATTTGTACTGAGATTAGATTAACACAGGTGGACTCTGTTGTGTCATTAGCAGTCATCAGACCACTTCTGAATGCAATTGGTTGCACTCAAGGAAAAGGGGGCTGAATACTTTTGCACACCGCACTTTTCACGAGTTGTTTCCAACTGTAATGAAAAAGGATTAGAAACTAAGGAGTACTTTGTAGTTATTGTTGATGATTTGAGCAGCTCATCAGTTAGTGGTCAGCATGGTCTGAATCTGATCTTCATGATGTGTTCAGTAGGAGAGAGTTTCGGCACATGCTCACACAGATTCAACAGATTGCATTTTTTGTGGCTGTAAACAAGCATTTTGCACACATTAAATTCTCAAATGTACAGTAATTTTCTTTGTCTTTAAACTGTTCTGACAACCAAACAGTGTGTCTTCGTGCTGGAACATTTTGCTCACATTTAAATGAGGCTTTAAGCATTTTGGAGAAATTTTAATGAAATGTTTTGTCTCTCCTACAAGAAATTTTTCAGTCTCAGGATTTTCGGGTAAACTTGTAAGTACTGCCTCCACATGGTGGCAAATAAGTTAAACAATGACAATCAAAACTGTTTTTTCACATACAAAAGTGGACCATCAGCCTACCAATATATTGTTAGTGCCCTGATCATCACCTATTGTTCATAGAGGATCATGCGCACCATCAGCTGACTATTGTTGGGGCTCTGATCATCACCTGTTGTTCACAGGGAGCTGAGTCATACTTGCAAMAACAGCATTGTAAGAGGGGAACAACTGGKCACAGAGGCCTCCACCTGTGTTTAGTCGTGGARGGTTTTTCTTCACAAAAATAGCTTCTTTTACTTCTCTCTCAAACCAACATTCCTCTCTAACAAGGATGAGAACATCTTCATCCTGGAAAGAGTGACCGCCAGCCTGTAGATGAGTGTAAACTGCAGAGTACTGGCCTGTAGATGAGTGTAAAATGCAGAATTCTGGCCTGTAGATGAATGTAAACTGCAGAGTCCTGACCTGTAGTTGAGTGTAAACTGCAGAGTCCTGACCTGTAGATGAATGTAAACTGCAGAGTCCTGACCTGCAGATGAGTGTAAACAGCAGGATCCTGACCTGTTGATGAGTGTAAACTGCAGAGTCCAGGCCTGTAGATGAGTGTAAACTGCAGAGGCCTGNCCTGGCTTGTAGATGAGTGCAAACTGCAGAGGCCAGGCCTGTAGATGAGTGTAAACTGCAGAGGCCTGGCTTGTAGATGAGTGCAAACTGCAGAGTCCAGGCCTGTAGATGAGCGTAAACTGCAGAGTCCTGGGGTCGGATTTATAACGCTTGCGTACGCACAAAAGAGCCRAAAAACTTGCATATGCCACTTTTCATGCCAAGGTTGTGATTTATAAAATCCAAACTTGACGTGAAAATGTGCGGTGCCTCATGCCAGCTCTGACCCATGCGTACACTCATTTTGGAGATGGGAAACTGCAACACAGATGGTGAGTGAAGAATTATAGCCACATTGTGTAATGATCACTGTCAGATATTTAATTTCACTTCATAATCAGACTTAGATTTTTATTCAGCTTTATCATCAGCTTTCTTAACAGTAATATTTATGTTTCTGCTACTGAGCCATTAGGACCTTTGAATGAAAAAACTTAAATCTTAAAAAGTTCACACATCTCCATTCATCTGCTTCCTCCTCATGACCCTGACCCACAGACCCCTCCCTGACAAGAGACATTTCAACAGCATGACAGCAAAAGTCACGCTTTGGGTTCTCGCAGGGCGCACCCACCCTCGCCAGTGTGGATGTTATAAAACTTGAGGGAGGATGGGGGCGAAGAGCGGTGAACTTTTTTCTAATTTTATCTGACTTACTTAATTTTATTTTTATTGTTTTTATTGTCTTGCAGGCTCTGAGAGAAAATTAATTTGAATCTGCGTTTTTGATAAAAAAAATCATTAGATTACTCTAAACGTCTGTAAACCTGCAAAATGAGGGAAAATCTGAGTCAATTACAGACATTCTGTTCACTTGAGCAGCTGTCAGCATCTGTCATCCTCCAGACGCATGACGGAGCGCGATTCTGAGCCATTTGCTTCTTTTGACATTGATCAGATTTAAATACATCTCAACAATCATGAGGTACTTTGCATTGACTGTATATGGTTGAGTGTGGGCATGTAGAGGGTAGAACCTGAGGCGGGACCTTGTGCTCAAACTCTGAAGTGCGGCTGTGATCTATAAAGGGAAGGTGCGCAGAAACACGCACAGTTTTATAAATCAGAATTTTTTTTTTGCGTATGCCATTTTCGCCTTTTGGCCATACGTTCATTTTTAGGATAGTTTCCACGCAATCTTTTATAAATCTGACCCCTGGACTGTAGATGAGTGTAAACTGCAAATTCCATGCCTGTAGATGAGTGAAGCCTTCAGAGCCCTAGCCATTAGATGAATGTAAACTGTGGAGTTATGGCCTGTAGAAGAGTGTAACTGCAGAATCCTGGCCCTTAGATGAGTGTAAACTGTAGAGTCCTGGCCTGTAGATGACTGTAAACTGTAGAGGTATAGCCTATAGATCAGTGTAAATTGTGGATTCCTGACATGCAGATGAGTGTAAACTGCAGAGTCCTAGCCTGTAGACCAGCGTAAAATGCAGAGTCCTGACCTGTAGATGAGTGTAAACTGTAGAGTCCTGGCCTGTAGATGAGTGTAAACTGTAGATTCCTGACCTGTAGATGAGTGTAAACTYTAGAGTCCTGGCCTGTAGATGAGTGTAAACTGTGGAGTACTGGCCTATAGATCAGTGTAAACTGTAGATTCCTGACACACAGATGAGTGTAAACAACAGAGTCCTGGCCTGTAGATGAGTGTAAAATGTAGAGTCCTGACCTGTAGATGAGTGTAAACTGTAGAGTCCTGACCTGTAGATGAGTGTTAACTGTAGAGTCCTGGCCTGATGATATTGCTCATCTGTTCTGGCCCATTCTTCTGAACAGTGGCTGTGTTGTGTGGGTGGCTGTGGCAGTGTGTTTAGGGGGTTTGTCCTGGAGCTGTTAGGTCACCAGTTTGATCCCCCATTCCAGTTGTCTCTGTTGTTGTGTCTTTGAGCAAGACATTTCACCACTAATGCGTCTGATGTGTGTCTCATCAGTGTATGAATGTGATTGGCACTGATTAGTCTCCATAGATGATTGTACATGTTAGCTTTGTAGTGAGATCTTATAGAGTGCTGAGTGAATGGGTAAATGAGTGTAGAATGTAGTGTGAAGCACTTTGAGTATCCTAGTTGGATAGAAAGGCAAGTACAGTCCATTTACCATTTGTTTCCCTTATGTGTAACTAATCACAGTCCTCCTTGCACTTTACACATTACTCTGTTTWTGCAGAGGGACCGGATCTTTGGGGTGGACCAGTCTTTGCCATAATGTGTTGTGGGGTTTGAAATTCACTGGGATGTCATGTTTAGAGAATAAACGTATCAGTTTCTCTGAAATTCCTGCAACAAATCGAATGACCACTAGTCTGGGTCTGGGTTTGAGGTCTTCATTTGTGTCCTGTTTGGGTTTCTTGTCTGCTTTGAGAAAAGCCCAGTCAGGATAACTGTACTGCTCCAGGGCCTGTCTTGTGTGTGACTTCTCATTCCCCCTGCCTCCTGTGTTTGTGGGGACATTGGCTGCTCTGTGGTCTAGAGTCCTGACGACCCCTAACTTGTGTTCCAGTGGGTGATGGGAGACAAACTGTAAATGTTGATTGTCAGCAGTGTCATTCATCAGTGCGAGAGAGAAGATGCAATATTCTTCTCCTGACATATCTGCCTTGTTTTGTGAAGGCATCAGTTTCTCCTTTTCCTCTGTTTTTTTTCCCTCTGAAACACAGTTATCACCTGCTGTCAGAAAACAGCTTATATTTCACGTCAAATCATGTCACAAACAGCACAAGTCTTTGAAAATCTGACACTTTTTGTCCTGGCTATGATTTACTTAAATATGTTCAGGTTTTCATCTCAACACATGTGAATTAAAAAACGGGTCAAACTGAGCTAGCATAAACAAGCACTGATTGATTAGTAGTGCAGAGTCGGTGCACAGCTCTCTTTGTTAATGCTTTGAGAGTCCCACAAAGTCACAAAATTATGATTGGTGACAACGAAAGTAAAAGTAAACATTTGGTGATTTTGGTCTTTTTGAATAATTTGACAACATTATGTATCAAATATATTCACAACCTAAAGTTTTTAAAAATATATATTTTCATCTTATGAATGGTTTTCTGACAGAGTTTGACTTTACTCCAAAAGTTAAACATTTATAGAAATTCAGTATATTTAAGAATAACTTTCAAAGAGTGTCATTATGATCCATCCAATGGTTCATGTGATGTTTTAGTAAAAAAAAAACACATGCACACAATTGCCCATCAGCTTAAAATGAAGATGATAGAGAATAATTTTTAGCAAGTGCTTATTTTTGACACCTTCACATCTGTTTTTATTTTATTTTATTATTTTTTTGAGTCATTCAAAACTTGAGTTATTTTCTGGTTCATTTAAAAATGTTTAAGTGTGTTGTTGGTGTCATATTTAAGATTTGTGTAGCTTTTTCTTTTAAAAAAATCCAAACTTTTGTGGAAATGTTTCTACATCGTAAGTATAGAGACATGAAGCACACAGTGTTTAATAAATCTGTCCTCCTGTGTCTGTTCTTGTTTCTTACAAAAAGATGAAGCTCTGCTGGTGGCTGATCAGTTTGTGGTGACGTTTGACGGTCGCTTGTTCGAGCTCAAAGATTCATGTCCACTGCTTCTGGCCCAGGACGTCCGCAGTGACCCCTCATTCATGCTGCTGCTCCATGCAGAACCCCACAGCCTCCTCCTGATACATATGAAGAACATTACGATCAACATTCAGTCCACTGGGCAGGTTTGTGCTGCCTTGGCTGTGACAGGATGCAGTGTTTTAGATACTGCTGCAGCATCAGATCAAGGCTTACAAACACTGAAACTGATGAAAGTTTTTTATCCACAGGTGAAGGCTGACTGCAGCAGTGCAGTCACACATTACAGCGAGAGTGGACTGACTGTGAAGACAGAGTCAAATGTTGTTCAGGTGTCCAGTCAGGATGGACAATCTGTGTGGTGTGATTTGCAGCTCGAGGTGTGCAGCTTCACTCTGGATGGATGGTTACACGGTAGGACTCATCCAGTTTTACTTGTTAACCTATTCATGAAATCGAATTTACAGAAGTAAAAAATATATATATATATTACAGTTTTGTTAATTGAAAGTGAAGATGTAGTATGTTTCTGTAAGTATTTAGATCCTTTATTTAGTCCTGGGTTGAAGCACCTGTAACAGCAGTTACAGTAAATAGGTACCACTTCTAGAATCATTTTCAGGTCTGTCCATAAATGTTTGATAGAGTTTTTCCATGGACTCTGCCCTTCTCAGGTTGACTCGGTGCAGACTCCGAGCCTTTCCATTGGCCAATCCCATCTGCTTTTAGGACCGACAGGCCAAACAGAACTGAGCTGAAGTAGACTGCAGGCCACTGATTGGTCAGAGTCAAACCCACAGTTTTTAAAACCGTGTAACTGTAGCATTCCTTTATCATTTCATTTAGTTAAAAATAATAAATCAATTCAAATGGCAACAGTTAGACCAGTGATCTATATTACTGGATTGGCCGTCATGTGACCTGCTTGCTTCGCAAGAGGAAGTTTTATGCATTGAGCTAATACTTGTCAAGTTCTCAGACAGGTCAGGTTATTCACATACTATGATTTATACACCCAGTATTTGTGTGTTTTTCCACATTTCCAGACAAAAAGAAGAAACAAAAATTGTACCAGATGTGGGTCAGGTTCAGATACACCCCTTATCAATGGAAGCTAAAGAATAATTATTCATATCAAATTTTGCGATTTTATAGTTATTCTATTGAAGAAAAAAATGTTTGTTAAACATAGATGATTCTATCTATCTATCTATCTATCTATCTATCTATCTATCTATCTATCTATCTATCTATCTATCTATCTATCTATCTATCTATCTATCTATC